CCAAGGGGTCATTTAGTAAATGCTATTTCTTTCCTCTTCTCTCAATAAAAATCTACCACTGAAAATGCTACACAGCACAAAGACTGAGAAATAACCATATGCCTCAAAGAAGAAAAACAAGACAAGAAAAGATAACATTCAAATCTAACTAAACACCATGTAGTTACAAGCAGGATTTTCCTTCCCTGCCTTTTCTGATTGAGGCTTATAACTAAATCCAAAGCCCCCCTTATAGGAAATGCCCAGTACAAAAAGGTACGATTGTATGGTATCTTCTGTGAAAGCAAAAAGTTCTCTATTTGCTCCCAGTGTCTGGTCAGAGAAGCATATCTTCAAAGTATAAATGTCCCCACAGCTGTGGCAGCAGTGACAAGCTGAGACCCATGGTGTGTTGGGCACTGTGCATTTCACCTATTCTCCCATTTCACCCTCATGACAACCATACAAATGGGCACTAAAAATCTCAATTACAGATGAAGAAGCTGAGGCGCAGAGAGGGTAAGGAACCTGCCCTAGATTGCACAGAGAGATAAGGAGTGGGGCTGGGATTCAAACCTTCGTAACTGACCCAGAGACCGCAACTGCTCTACACTACATAGTATCCTGAAGTGAAGCAATTCTCCTGAATAAATTAACCAAATGGTTTTTAAATTTTAAATGGAGGAGGGGCGGGAGGGGAAAAATAAAAATAAAAATAAAAAAATAAAATGTTAAAAAAACTAAAAAAAAAGTTGCAAAAAAACAAACAAAAAACATCCATTTGCTCTTATAAATGTATTTTGTAAAATATATATGGACGTTAACTATAATTAGTTAAGAAATTGAAAGGATGGAAATAAAGTTTTATGTTTTTGTAGTAAAAAAAAATTTAAATGGAAATAGAAACCAATTATGTGAAGTGTCGTGACAAACCTATGCCTTATCAACAGTACAAACCATTATAACTCTTGCTTACCTTGGGAGGCAGATTACTGTAACACTTAAAACAATAAACCTAATTTATATCTGACCTGAACAGTATCTCAGTAAAGACACATTCAATACATCACCTGGGATGTTAGAAATTGACAACAAAAACCAGGAATGAGAATAGATTAGCCTTGTCCTCTTGTTATTTCAGCACCTTCTGCTCCTCTGTATGACGGGGGACAGGAGGGACAGAAGCCTCAGTGAGGGCTTCTTAGCACCACTATCTTGAGAGACAAGTGGTCTGCCCTTTTGGACATGTGGCCTACTGACAACCTGCTAGGAACCTGGCATGTGACCTGGCATACCACACAGCTAAGCATGAATGGCAGCTGCTACTAAGTGGGGCGAATGAGAGTTGCTCTGTCTATTATCAATGAAAAGCCTGGGAAGAAAGGAGGTACAGTTGGCCATCTATATCTATGGGTTCCACATCTGTGGATTCAACCAATCGCAGCTGAAAAAACAAAAAATTCAATGTTATGTTATTGCTGATGTGTACTGCGTATTTAGGCCTGCAATGGTTGCCTCTGTAAGGAACGTGTACAGACTCTTTTTTTTTCTGGTCATCATTCCCTAAACAACACAGGATAACAACTAATCACATAGCACTTACACTGCAGTAGGTATTATACATAATCTAGAGAAGAATGAAAATATAGGGGGGGAATGTGCATATGTTATACAAAAATACTACACCATTTTGTCTATGGGACTCGAACACCCATGGATTTTGGTATCTGATTTTTCATAAGCAAACACTAAAAGGCAGATACAAGCAAAAGTAGACACTTCACATTTGTAGCCACTGTACTCCAATTTTATATCCGCATAACAAATTTTCTTCTTTATCATGATACTAAAAACATAAAGCACATTCCACTACCACACTGACGTTTCTGAATCTCCTAGCATGTGAAATTCTCTTTTATTTCAAGAAAGGGAAACAATATATCCTGAGCATCTACTAAGTTCTAAGAATTATCAAAGTCCTTCCCCATCTCATGCAATCTTTACAACCTCTGTTGGAGGAAAAGCATTATCCCCATTTTACAAAGGAGGATACAGTCTGTCCAAGAGCATATCAGTCCTTCTAACAGCTTCTCTCCTCGTCCGCAGCTTAGAAAGAACAGGCCCAGGGTCATCCCAGCAAGACAAGAGATTTCTAGAAGAATCCTGTTCAGATTCAGAACACTTGTGTGGAAAATGAGGTGGCCATCCTGTGTGTACAGTAAACTACAGGCAGTTCCTTCTTTTTAATTCTACTACTTACAGAGAATAGCCAAAATTAAAGACTTAGTCATTTCCTTTTGTCTAAGAACTGAGGTAAATAGAAAATAATCTTCCCAAGAAACCTTCATAAAAGGTCATCTACAAGAGAGTTCAAGGTGTGTTGCAGAAACAGATGACTGTTAATAAAACATTTTGTGCTTTTTGTGATGCAACAAAAAGTAAAAGCAGAGAGTATTTTTAGTTCTTCCCAGCCTAAAAGGATTTGACCAAAGGATCTTGTCTCAGCCTGGTTTTCCATGCACTGATTACAACTGACCGTTATAAAAGAAGGTAAATCACTTCCTGACAGCCTGTCATTAGCAGTGGTCTGATCCGAACTCTCTTAGGACTTTCATTCTGATTCCAACAGAGGAAGGAGAAATATGGGAGGTGCCCAGGCTATGAAAGAGACAAAAGGGCACCACGCAAAATCCTCATGGGACATTCCCGTAGACAAATATGGCTCAGAACGCACTTTATATTACACTCAATCTCCGCATACTGCTCAAACACTGGCTGTCTTGGGCCTTCTCAACAGTTGGCTATAAAGCTTCCCGAAAAGATACCTAATACAGCCAAGTGCTAATTTAGAAGAAAGCGGAAATAGGTGGAGCTTACCTCCCCTCAAGGTTTACTTTTTAAACATAAATCTGGTGACAGGAGAACAAAATATTATTTGCGTATGTCGGCTGTTTGATGACCTTCAAAATTTATGTTAGGACTATGCATATTTGGTTAAGCTTACATTGAGAAAAGCCTGGTGCCAACATAAATAAACCCACAGAAAAATTAACAGATTTTTCTAAAACCAACTATTGAGAAAATGTTTATGGTAATTGTTGGATGTTTTTCTACAAGGATAATCTTGAAAAAAATGACAAAATCAAGGTTTAATGTTATAAATCAAACCTGCATATAAGAAAGAATGAGGGCAATATTAACACAGAAAGATGTCAAAAGAAGCAACTGCTTTTCCCACTTTCTAAATGAATTAAGAATGGATGACTGTACTTGACTAAGCCATTCCAATATAGAATAATAAAAACAGTTCTTATGTTGCATTTCAAATCCTGCTAGATTTTTTTTTTTTTTTTGTCTTCAAGGATGAAGAAAATATTCTTCCTTTATAGATGGGAAAAAATAGAGCAAAAAAATCAAATTAGGCAAAAATTTTCAGTACAATATCACAGGAGGATTCCCGAATCCTCAACTACTTTTGGCATGTATCTAGGTTTCGACAAAAAAAATCTGAATGGACACACATCCCAATTCAAAATGAAGCTATATGTTTATTGTCCAGTTCTTCTGAGTAATGGTCTTGCACATTAGCAATATTAAATTGATCTAAGGATATACAGTCTTACTTAAGCTCTTTAATCAAAGCTTATTTTGGGCGCTCTTTATGTTGGTCACAGAGATTACTGATCAACTAGGTGCTGCCTATACCTAACCCAGTTTGTATTTATCATATGATTTTATAAGGAGTTGATTTCATGGAGAATAGGACCGTTGTTTTCAATATTTATAAATAAGCACACAACTCCCAGTTAAAAAAAATAGCGTTGAATAATGAACTTAACATTATGCATGTAAACATGTAAGGGAATGACCATGATCCAAACAATATTAGCGTCACCTATAGGTTCCATGGTCTGACATAAACTGCCCTGAAATAAGAGTTAATTGCTGAGAAAATCCTGTTTTACCCATAAGAAACTGGATAGACAGCAAGGACTCAACCATTAGCAGAATTAATTTCCCATACAGAAAAACTCAACGTAATTTCTAACATACACCACACTGTTACCCAGTCCACTTTGAAAGATATTTGGAAAGTCAAACACATTTACTTCCGAACTTTCACAGAAAAGAACAAAGATTAAAAAAATAAGAAGCCACAGTATGATAAAATCCCCTCACTCAGAATACACAAATTCTGAACCTGTTCCAATCCAGATGTTTGGAATTAACATCTGTCTCTGCAGCCTGTCACCCAAATACAAGCATGTGATACTAGTATTTACACAGACATCCTAAGGAGACAGTATTCTTCCCCAGTAAAGCACTGATAGGATTGCAAACTGCTGCACAGAATGCAAGGAAATGATGTAACCAACCCAACACCAAAATATTCTTTCTCTCAGTGATGGTGGTCACTGTGAGCCACCTTGTTCTGTCTGGCTAGCTCAGAATCTCCTAGCACCAACCCTGCTAAGAGCTGGAGTAGAGATAAAGGTTTAGGGCTCTGGCACAGAGCCAAACTGTGGCCTGCTTCAGGGCATCCATAACTTTAATAGTCTCAATGGTGCCAAGAAAGCACAAATCATACTTTGAAGTAATAATCTTGAGATTCTTTGAAAATGCTCTGAACTCAGACTTCTCCCTAAATCATGAAGGTACATGAGCAAGCTTCTGCTTTACTGAATCCACTGAGGGCTCATGACGCAATGACAATCAAAGCTTCATACACACGCACAGTCTCCCTTACAAGTAATTTAAACGTCAGAAACACCAGTGTTTTGTCTTGGAAGAGATGCACTATCTTTGGCAGTGCTTTCTTTTCTTTCTTTTTTAACCAATATATTTAATAAGTTATTTCCCAAATGGTCAATTTCTATATTAAAAAACCATGAGTCACTAGAGATGAGAAAAATTTCATCTGAAAATGCACTACACCTCCCAATCCTCCCTGATTGACATCCCAGATACGAGGCTAGTCCGCAGTGAGAGAACGTGGGCCCTGGGACCCACTGATTACTTACTTGTTAAAAAAAGGTTCAATGAGTTTTGATCTGGCAGACACATGAATTTTTGGAGGACTAAGAAAAGAACCTAATGGAGAAAAGAATCAGAGTATTATATACAGTCAAGTAGACAAAGCCTGAAAGTTCAGGCAAAAAAACATTTAAATCACAGTATGGGTCAGCACGGGTAAAGTTCATATGGGCCGAGTTCCATATTCCAGGTACAAGTCAATGGTTCCTCCAGTGCACGCTCCATCACCTCACCCCAGTCTCCTGCGACTCTTGATGCTTCCCACGTCTAACTGGGTGAGTGGATCCCAGGGAAATGGTAGACAGGTAAGATCCACTCTAGACCACTATGTGTTTGACAGAAACATGTACAGTGTGAGTACCTAGGTAGTTTGCCATGGAGATAAAACACAGTCCTGTGATATAAGCATCATAGCCTGCCTCGTGGAGCTGTTCAGAAGCTGTGTCATAACTTGGAAAATCTTCTGCACTTTCTAAAGAGAAAAAAAAAACAGTTTTCTCAACGACATCATAAATCATGAAGACTAGTAAGCATATTGCCTTATCAAAAACAAACTGCATTAGTATGTGCTGCAGAAATACCCTAAATAAATTTGCATTTAAAAAAGCTATCTTTTTCTCATTCTCTCCACATAAGCCCATACAACATGAGGTACCAGAGTCACTTTAAATGGGAACTTTGGTCTAGACTAGAGCGATGCCTCAGTTATTAACAAAACTCGGCCACAGGCCTCCCCATGGCACACTAATGCTACTTATGATCATACATAACTCACCTATGACAATGATTCCTCTTCTGATTGCTTTCTAAGGTCACAAAAAGGGGAGTCTTCCCTTACAGATATTGTAACATGGGGACACAACAGGAATTTCAGAGTAATGACTAATAGCCTGAACTTTGGAGTCCCACTGTCTATGTTTGAATCTTCACTCACTACTTATTTGTGATCTTGAGCAGGTTATTTCACCTCTGGGCCTCTATTTTGGAAGAATAAAGATAATAATCACACTTCTCTCATTTTTTTGTGATGTTTTTGTGAGGATCAAATAAGCTAATGTAAGCAAGGCTCTTGCACAGTGCTTGGCATAAGGTAAACACTCAGTAATTATTATCTATCAATAATACCCCAGGTAACCCTCCCCAAACCAAAAGACTCCAATCAATATTGGTAGCTCAATCCAACACTGTCCTCTACTATGCTCCCAGGTTCACAGATGTAAATACAACCAACTCCAAAAACCGACCAGAACTAGTTGTAATGCGGCCCTTGGAACATGAGGCCACTTTACAGGAGCAACCATTTTGTACCACGATTCTTTTGTCACACGATGCACACAGATGCTGAGAAGATAACATCTGAGAAGAGTCACCTGCTAGAGGAAATCCCCTACCAGATACCAGAATATTATACAGAAATAATAGGATGAAAGTAGGAGAATACAAAGGATAAAATAATAGGATAATTCGTAAATAATTATTTCCCAGAACCATTCTGGAAATGAGTATCAAAAAGGTAATAATAGAATCAAAAAAAGTGTGAAGGGAAATTAACAATGAAAAGCTACAACTGTTTTTATATCAATACAATGCTCTTTAAACAAGAATTCTTTAACCTCCATAAGTATTAAATATTAGACTTTAATAAGCTTTAAAAATAACCTTTTAACATGACAGTCAACTAATGGCATCTATTACTAGCTGAAACACAGATTTCAAAATCAATTATTTCCATTATATTGCTATAGAAGAGATCAGGTTTCTTTTTCCCAATGCTTTTTCTTAATTCCTTTTTTGGATTATTACCCAGAAAGGGAAGCAAATAACTACTCTTGGCTACTTTAATACCTTACGGTGTCAATTTCTGAAACTTTGGTCCTATTATCCATGTCTTCAGAAGTTTGCAGGCTATAACTCATGAAAGGCTAACTATAGTATCAGCAGCACAATTAGACAAACAGGAAGTCACACCTGGAAGTTTCACCAAATACCTGGGCAGCAGAAGTGGCCAGATACGGCAAAACATCTCTACCCACAGAAATATTCCTCCCTGCTTCTGGTTTCCCTCGCTGCTGCCACCCCACTCCTAAGACACCCCTGAAGGTGGCAGGGGTGGAGACAACTCTCTTTTCTCATCTGTAAACCCAGTTCTTGGGCTTCTCTGACAAAAATGACAAAAAGTATATTTTCATTCTAGCTTTAGCAATCAATCGCCAATTCTTTGTCTCTGCTTAAACAATGCCACCATAGAAAAGGACGCATCAAATTTTGGGAGAATTCCAAGTATTAGGAAATAAAAACCCTAAAGGCTTAATTGCCAAATGTCTCAACAAACGGGCTACCCAATTCTATGAACATAAAACTAATGTAAGATTAGAAGACCATTTTTATTCAGAAAACAAAATTCAACACAGGGTGTAAGCAAGTTAATTTAGTCAAAATCTATAAATGTGCAATCTAGTTTCTAGAACGGTTTCATCTGCTACAGTTTACATCAATACATAATCATCACAAAGAGTTTGAAGATTTTCATTTTATATTTTGTATACTTACCAACTTTAGGAGGGGTGAAAGGTGTCTCTTTTAATCGCTTTTCCAATTCTGCAAGGGATGTGTTGTTAATGATATCCTGCAAACCGGTAAGCGAAGAACTGTGAGCCTTCATCATCTCAGTGCAACAACAGACATCAAAGAGATTCACTGAATGTCACTGCCAAAAAAAAAGGGGGCATCTAATACTGCCCCCTTGTGTTCTTTAAAAGAAATACAGGAGTCATCGTTTGGTCAATGTGAAAGAGAAGCAGCAAATTTAATTCCACCATATGGAAAGTTTAGACATATGAAAGATTTTTTATACACGTTTCTGCAGACCTTGGGCCAGAAAGCTACATTTTCCTTACACGGTACCGGCATTCGTTTCACTCAGCTTGTAAATGATACCTTTATCTGAATTTTCTTGATTATAAGACATATCCAAAATATATAAAAGTAGGAAGTGTGTGCATGTGCGACCTATTCAAAAATACACGATGTATTTTAATGTTAAAAACTTACATTCGAAAAAAATAAAAAGGGGGAAAAAATTCCACCACCCAAAGATAACCGCTATTCACATTTTAATATATTTATTTCTGGTCTTTTTCCATTTTTAAAATATATTTATTTCTGGCCTTTTTCCATTTTTTTTTTCATTCTTTTCTCTTTTTTTTGAGGGAAAGGAGGTAGATGTATATGAAAAATGACATTTAAATAGACCAAAAGTCCAGAGTTCTTAGTAGCAATTCAGGAAATTTCAAATATAGCGTATCACTGACAGTCAAATTTTTTAAATACCTTAAAAGGTTGTGTGCTGGCCATCAATTTAGTATCCAAGAGTCTAAAAACAAAAGAATTTTTAATATGGTAAACAAAATGTATATCAGTGTCCAAAATGTCTTTTACTCAAATCAACAGCCCCTGTCTTAAAAGTGGACAGGGGAAGAACTAAACACATTAACCACTGTGAGCCTAGCTCCACATCCCTGCTACACTGGACTGGACACTTGGCCCCCTCGGTCAGGGACTTTGTCGTACTCAATTCGTCCCCTGAGACGGTGTGGGCTACACCAATCTCAAGGTGAAGTCGAATATCCTCATATGTTTTTACACAGGTCAAAACCCACTGCAGGTCCAACTCTGCCAAGCCATCACCATTTACCATCACCAGGTTTGTACGACATAAATTCTCGGATGGTTGAAATCTGCATTTGGTAGTTTCATGCTATTGCTGTTATTTCTCACTATTCTGTTTCAGAGACTGGAATATTAAAGAGAGAGAGAGACTAATATGAAAACTGTTTCTCTCCACATAAACGTGAAGACTAGATAAAAGGCTGCTGAAAAAGCAACTGCCCCACTGGCACACCTGTCCCTCTTCAAACAGGTCCTCAAATGCAGAGGCTTGTCTGTGGGTTCCACATGACCAACATGTGATCTATCAGACAGGTGACACATCAGACTAACCGGCAATATTAACTACGGAAAACACTAATGGGTAGAAGCATTGACTTAAAGCTGAGGGGAAAATCTCTAGCCAGACAGTTCTTGACCGACTACAGAACACTCAACTGGATATATTCAACTACATCCAAATATATATTCAACTATATCCAATATTCAACTGGATACTCTCAACTGGACACTTCGTTGTGACAAGGTACATCCAACATAGAGGAAAGACAAGTGCTGGCTCAGGAAAACTTCAGTTCTTCTGGCAGCAAGACATGAAATGAGAAAAAAAGAGCTGCTCTCTATTTTTACTCTTAGTTCAAATTGTGATTTTTAATAGAATAACAAAGCCAATCATCAGTTATAAAAGTAAAACATTACAACCTCAGATCTATTAAACTATTTCTCATGTGAACTGGATTATAATCACAATCTAATGGTTCTAATAAGTTACTATACACCTATTTGCATTATGAATGCCATGATGAGTGTTTTAAATAAAGACAAATCCTCAGAGAAAGCTTACCTGGGGAAAACACATGTTGTCATCTCCTTAAATTCATTTAAGTCCTAAAAACAAGAGATGGCTTGTTATAATTTAACACGCACAGCAGTAAAAATATACACAATATTTCTAGTTCCACAGGTCTCTTCCCAAACTAATTGTGATTCTTCATACAGGCCCCTCAAGCTAAACTGCAAGACCCATTTCTAGTTAATAATAACTTACTTAAAAATCTTCATAATTTCCTCTGACCTGATATAACATAACATAACGAAAACAGATATAGGAGAGGGAAGAAAAGGTTTCTATTACAATGTAGAAAACCTTCAATAATGGCTCTGTTACACAAATTCAACATTATAGTGGGACCAGCAATGTTATTTACATAAAATGGTTCATACAGGAAATGGACACCTGCGAACGATGTTATACCTTTACTGAAAACACCTTTGAAATGTTAAAGTGGCCACTAAAACACACACTTTCAATATATAATTCCTGCTTTTAGTCAGAAAATTGCTTAAGTGGCACGAAGAGCAAGTGCCTAAATTACACAATTCATTTTCCAAGTTTATTTTGATCAGGAAGTCTAAAGCTGAAATGAGATTCCTCTAATTCTGAATTAACTCATTTACATACATAATTGCCACGCTAGACTGACAGTCATACTCCTGACCCTTTGTGACTACATTTCTCTTCAGCGTTATTCATGCTTCACAGGAAACTGCCATTTCTAATTAGCCTTTCAAGCCTGTAAATACAGATGGTATTTAGCTAGTTTGCAATATTTACTGGCTTTTCAAAGGCTGTTGTTAAATTAATGGACAATACATGAACAAGTAGCCTCAATGCTAACCCAAACAAAAATGCAATGAAAATTGTTTGCAAACTCTCAATACCATTACAAAGCTTGACAAGCAAGGAAAGATTAGAATTATGGCTACTTGGAGGGCCGGCCAGCAATAGCGAAGTTCTAGGCCAGTGCCTCCTAAAAGATCATGAGGAAGTACCATGAAGATTCTTAAGAAGAGACTCCCCCCTAAAAGGCAGCTCTAAAATGCTGAGTTCTTTAGTAAACTTTTAAATGCAAATTTTGGTACCATACCAATGTAAGTAAAAGTTCTACCATTTTAAATAGCTTTTATCATTTATTCTCATCACTTCTTTCAAAGGTAGATGGAAGGAAACCATTTTCTTCCTCTGACAATGACAGAACACAAAGAATTAACTTCCTCAGGTTACCTTAGTAATAAAGGGTGAAACCACTTACCCTAACCCACATCTACTCTACAACAAATCTTATGTGCTCTTTCTACTAGAATCTGATTTAAAACTAGTTTCGTTCAAGGTAACATTTATTAAGTGCTTATATACAAAATGCTCTGCTAGGCATTTAGACACAGACAGTAACAAGGTTACATTCTTTGTCCAATAACCTAGGAGAAGGGAGGCAAGCTGTACAGATAAAATTTATGCACCATAACAGGTAAGCAGTTCTGTGGGAGTTCAGAGAAAGGAAAGATCTCCTCTTGGCAAAGCAGCAGGCAAGGAAAACTTCCTGGAAGAGGCCTAAGCTAGACCTTGGTAAGACAGGTGAAGGTGTATACAGCAAGCATTGAGAAAAGCTAGAGAAAATTCAAGTTGGAGGAAATAATATACCGAAATCACAGACATGCTAAATCACAAGGCATTTCTCAGGGAACAAATGAGCCAGTCTGGCTGGGAATAAGGAGAGTAAGGAGTGGCCAGACTACAGGAGATGGCTGGGATAGACCATAGAAAGAATGATATGTCAGGCTAAAAAGAATCAACTGTATAGAAAAGCAAAGAATGTGCGATTAGTTCAGAATTTTGAGCAGGGTCAGTGATGTGAACAGAGCCATATACCAGATTATAAAACTGGCACAGTGGGGAGTCACTCGTTTGTTAAGTCAGTATTTAATGTCTCCTATGTGCTAGGCTCTGCTTAGTATCCAAGACACCTATAAACATAGCATTAAATATACTTTCCTCTTCCCTTACTGATAGTTCCATTGTTTCGAAGGTCAAAAAGTCATGAGGGAAGCTGCTACTTTGGTCTGTTTGACTAGTAAGAAGTAGTTAACCTGAAATAAACATTAGCTCTCTAGCTTTACAACAATGCAAATTCATACCCATAATGTTTGTCTTAAGATTCACAAGTATGAAGCCTTTTGAGTCCCAGACGGTGATACAGTTGTCATGAAAAGCAATGACAACCTTAAGGTTGCAGAAGTAAGACAAAGGGAGCGACAGAGCCACAGTGTTCACAGCTGTGTTGGACTTCTGCAAAGGAAAGTGATCAAGATGCTGATGGCTCCTAAGAAATGTTCAGTAACCAAGGCTTTGAGGATGTATAAATGAGCCTGAACGCCAAAGTAGGTATCTCTCAATCCAGAAACATTAAAAGATTAACCTGGTGACAATTTAAAGCAAGGGTTGGCAAACTATGAACTGCAGTTCATAGTTTGCATAAACAAACAGTGTGGCTTTGTTCCAATAAAACTTTAGCTCACTACCTACTTTTTAAATAAAGTTTTATTGGAACAAAGCCACACTGTTTGTTTATGCATTTTATGATAGTTCTCAGACTACAACAGGAGTATTGAGAGTTAAGACAGAGGCTGTACCAGCCTGGAAAACCTGCAATATCTACTTTACTATTTGGCCCTTTATAGAAATAGTTTGCCAACCTATGGTTTAAAAGATAGCCTGAAGGGTAAAGTAAGGCATGGAATCTTGCCTCAAGTTTGGTTAACTCCACATGAAAAATAATGCTATTTGCAATTGAAATTAAAAGAATCCAGACATGAGAGACAGCATGGAGACAAAAGTGTCAGGTTTTGTAACTTAGCAGATCTGGGGGACAAAAGAAGAGTCAAACCCATGTTAAAAATAGTATTGGTGACTGGGTATTATTTATAGTAAAGGAATCAGGAGAAAGAACTGGTTTGGAGACAGTAAGAACGAAAGAAAGGTAGTGTAAGGTACACATCTTGTTTGAAACATATACATTTTAAACACCACTTAGTCTGAAGCCTAGCCAGGTGAAGACATGTGGAGTCCCGCATGAGCTATGTGCCCAGATCTGGGGAGAAATCACAGCTGGAGATAGCAATGAAGGCATCTTCTGCTGAAGTTCTGAAAGTGGGTGAGATCATTACAGAACAGAAGATATAGAGAGAAAATAAAGGACAGGGGAGGACAAGTGAGATGAGGCCAAGTGCAGTTAGGGAGCAAGGAGGAAGAAACAGAAGAGAAGTTGTTTTCCTGAGGAGCCAAAGTAGCTCATGCTTTGATGCACTGAGATCACTTGGCTCCAAGAATGAAAATACAAAAAAGGCAACAGAGAATCTAAGGGAAGCAGCTTAGCATAAGGCAACCCAGAACTCTTGTGGTTAGCATGTCTGCTTTACGCATAGAAGGTCTTGGGTTTGATCTCAGTGGAACGAGCAGTTGTGGGTCCTCCATGCTCCCTCAAAAGCAGAGGGGCTCCTTTTGAAACTTATGTATGACCTGGTCCAGTGCAGTTGACCTAAGGCACCACTCACCTTCAATGTCCCTGCTATATCTCACATTGGCAGCACCAAACTAGACGACCACGCCTGTGACTGAGGAAGCCCTGCCACACATTGACTGAGCAAACCACTGGCATTAAGATAAAATAAATGTTTTGCCTTGCTCTGGCAGATGAGTGAGGATCCCTTAAAATGGCCTGTATGTACATCTCTGAAAAAATGTACAACCAAGCACACGAGATTCTCTCTCAGGGAGATTCTTTCTGTGAGAATATGCTGCACACAACGAAACAACACCCAAGTGGAGGACACTTTCTTGGTAATAAAAAATTGTGAATTTTCAACAGGCTGATAAGGCACTTACCGCAGGCAGGGGGCAGTAGAACTGATGGACTGTGTGCATGACATCCAAGAGCATGTTGTGTCCAATAACAAGTTTCCCCTAAAGTCAAAGTTAGAAAAAAAGACTTACAGGTACAAAAATTATAGAAGGGCCTGAGCGTGAAATGGATGGCTCGAATTCCATGATGACTCTGTACTAAATTTATTTTTCCACATTAAAAAAATATGTAAGTATATGCAAATAAGCAAATTAGGGCTGGCTTCATTTCTCTTAAATTTGGGGGTGTTAAATCTAGAATGCAAAATAAAAGCTCCAAATGCTTTTGATTTCACTAATCTTTTACTGATTTTTATTAACTTTTCCACCTACAAGAATCAGAAGTAATAAAATTTTAATGAAAGAGCTCAAGTTAAAAGGTAAAATCTGAAAACACCATGTCCCTTGGACTGTGGAATAATTTGTGAAACAACTCCAAATATCCATCCAGGACAGTGTTCTTTTTTCCTTTTCTTTCTTTATTTATTCTTTTTTTTGACAGCCAAATTGTAATCTTTATTAAAGTTATTTTTACAAATTTATGTCTCCTAATATGAAAAGGCTGATTTTTACTTTAACATGTGCTTTGAAAATTAACATCAGTAGTAGGAGGGGCTTTAGCTGAATAGATTTCAGACTTCAAATATGTGACTGCATCCTTCATCTATAGTTTTTCCATCTTCCAACTACTGACCAAGATCACTTGAAAATCCATGACTTTCAAATGCCACATTTTCATAGAAGGAATCCTCTAGGGTGGATTGAATCCAAACAGTAATTAGATCTAGGAAAACACAGGACAGCTACTCTTCCAATATCTATAGCAGAAGTTACCACATCCAGGTCAGAAAGTGGAAGCACTTGACTCCTGTTAGTATCTGTTTTGATTTCAAAATCAGTATGATAATTATGTAGCAATTGTACATTTTCTGAGATGTATCCTTCTCCCAGAAGGCTATTTAGCACCTTCATAGGACATGTTCTTAAATATTATTTTCAATTAAATCATTGCTTTTCAACCAATTGAAGTAAAATATGTGTGCGATTCATTTGCTCCATTCTGATAAAAATTAAGCTACCAAAATGGAACTTCAACTTAAATTTAGCTAGTCAGGTGATACCATTTCTAACATAAAGCAAAAGGTCACCACAGTGGAGTTTTTTACTAAGTCCCAGTGGACCTTCAGAGTAACACTCCTTGCTTGAGTCAAAGGGCTAACTATAATTCTTTGAAACAAATCACTCTACACAGAATCTCCCAAATCCAACAGATAAGCTATCACTTTTGGCTCAGTGTGTGTGTACATTACAAATATCTACACAATGCTAAAACCCCAAGTACTGACTGAAACTATAGAAAAAATGTTGGGGGAACCCAAAATGGAACACAAAACACTAATAGATGAACCTAACTATAAAATAAATCAATCCCATAACTACACTGAAGGATGCTGGGAAGAAAAGAACTAACTACGAAAACTGTCTCTCAACTAGATATCATCAGGCCTGCAATGAACGCTGTAGTCCAGCCAGTGAATGCACTTCTCACAAGGTATGGGTAGTAATCCCAAAACTTCTTACGTGTCTACCGGATTTAAACAAACACATATAATGCAGATAAGAAGAACTGGATTTCCCACTATTGGAGAAAAAGTTTACAAATAAGAGAAGAGAGCAGGCTAAAGGCAAACCATGTGGATTGGAATCTGAAGTATCAGTACAAAGGCACGGTTTTATAGGTATCTGTATTTATGTATGTATATATGCATGCATGTATATGACAGAAATGTCACTGTGTATACATATGCATAGTCCTACATATGTATCTTTTAGCTCTGCCCAGTAAGGGCGCCTAGAAGTAGTAACACCACAGCAGTAACCCAGTGACAGGTCTGGGTTTCTAAACACTATTCCCCAATGAAAGGAACCAGGGCTCCTTGGAGAAGTCATTGATTCTAGAGCCGAGGCAGGGAAAATACAGGATGAGGCTGGACATAATTCAGCGATTACGATGTTGCATCAAGAGCATTATAACAACAGTCTATGAAATTCTAACTTCTTTCTCCATATCAAGTAAACATTCTGTACGTGACAAAATAATTCATTTACAGTGATAACTAGTCATGTCACCTTAAATGTTATGTTCAGGAACCTAGTTAAAAAAGAAAAGGTCTGGTTCACTTACTGAATTAGCAATGGCATGAATGACTCTAGAGAATCCCACGGCATCGTTCAGTTCTTCCTGATTTAAAAAAACAAACAAACAAACAAAAAAGATTCATGTACTATATTCCTTCTTTGAATGAGGTAAAACCTAGCCATAAACAAAAAAAGGCACTGAAATTTTATATTGTTAGCTTTAGTTTCACATGCTTTGTATCTAGCGACCTAAACAACTGCATGTGAAATGTTTATTTTTTTTCTGCTTTAGAAAGTAAAATGTGAAAATGGTGCAAATTATCCCTTAGTTACTAAAAGAATGGTGCCTAGGGTTTACTCATTACTTCAACTTTGTGTTGAAATTTACAAGTCTATCAAGCTGTCTTAAAAACACAAACTTTTAAAACCTGCCACCTTCTGTCCAAATTCAATACTGCATTAAATTCTAAGGAAACCCATTCAGCAGTTGATTGACCAAATAAAGCATTCTCATAATTCCTGACTTTTTCCTTGTCAAATGTATAAAATTTTTATAGCACAGCACTCTGAGACTCATCCCTACTCAGTTTCCTCTTCCCTGTTTTCTTCCTAACGGTGTTTAAATAGGCTCAATTTCTGTCTTGAAACCCTCTCCTTAACTCTAAGGACATGCAAGTACAGTCCCTTCTCCTTGTCTCTTCACAGCTAAATTACTTAAGAGACTTCTCTCCACTCAGTAGCTCCCGGTTAACTCCCAGGTACCTGCAGCCGTCTGCTCTCTGGCGTCACCCTCACTGAAACTGCTTACCTCCTTAAACTACTCCCACGGCTAACTACTGTGGGTGAAGATGTAGAGAAACTGGAATACTTGTGCCCTATCGGTGGGAATGTAAAGTGGTACAGTTGCTATGGAAAACAGTATCGTGGTTCCTCAAAAAATTAAACACAAAATTTCCATATGATCTAGCAACCCCACTTCTGGGTATAGACCCAAAAGAATTGAAAGCAGGGACTCGATCAAATACTTGTACACTCATGTACAACAGCATTATTCACAATGGCCAGAAGGTGGAAGCAAGGCAAGGGTCCACTGAAAGATGAATGGATAAACACAGTGTGGCATGTCTATATAATGGGATGTTATGCAGCCTGAAAGAGAAAGGAAATTCTGACACATGCTACAGTGTGAATGAACCTTGAGGACATCATGCTAAGTGAAATAAGACAGCAACAAAAAGATAAAATAGTTTGATTCCATTTATCCAAGTTTCTTTGAGTAGTCAAATTCAGAGAGAGAGAAAGCAGAATGGTAGTTACCAGGGGGTGAGGTGGGGGAGTGGGCGCTGTTGTTTAACGAGTACAACATATCAGTTCTGCGGGATGGAGAGTCCTGGAGATGGATGGTGACAACGGTTGCACTACAACGTGAATGTACGTAACACTACAGAACTGTACACTTAAAAATGATTAAAATGGTAAATTTTGTTATGTGTATTTTACCAAGATTAAAAATAAAAACAAAACTTTAAAGAATATTTTAAAAAAAGAAAACTACTCCCAAAGCTGAGCCCAATGGCCACGTCTCAGTCCTTGCCCTCACTTCTCACACGTATCAGACACTGTTGACATCCCCTTCTTCAAACGCTCTCTTCCCCTGGCTGCCATGTCACAATGATCTCCCGACACACATTTATATTCTGTCCACCATCTAAACACCGTGGTCTTCTGGACCCCACCCTAGGCCCTCCTCTCATTCCTCATGCTTGCTGTAGGTGCTCTAACCCAGTCCTGGTCTCTCTGCCAACAACAGGGAAGTCTAGCCCTCACCTCTCTCCTGTGCTCCACAATAGCAACCCCTGTGACATTTGGCCATGGATGTCCCAAAGATATCTCAAGTTTCACTGGGTCAAAAACAAAATGTAACATCTTTTCCACTATAGGGGAACAGCTCCACCATGGTGCCCTGGTGACCCTGCACGTATGCGAATAGGCCACACAGGCAAAAGCTTAAGCTGCAACTGATCTATGCCTGTGAAACACCCCAGGAGGGACGGGGAGGGAGGCAGTTTGTAAGGTGCAGCTAACAGGCCATCTCCTACCCACCTCCCTCTCTCTCCTAACAGGCTGTCATCAGACAGTTTCTCACGGCCACCCATATTCTGATGAGGTTTGGTGCTTTCTGCCTCACGTTCCTGTCAGTACAGGGCTGCAGAATACAAAAGCACTTAGCTGCAGTCTAGAACTCGCTCCTCAGTGATGGGGTACCCACAACTCATGTCACAGTCATTTGGCCCCTTTCTGTTTCAGTGTTGTCTTTTGGTGTGTGGGACAAGGACCATATGCAGCTGCCACCTCTGGCTAATCTTCCTTCTCTTAGTAATAAACCATCTAAATCTAACAGTGGCTAATTGTGTCTTTCCTGGTTGAATCAGTCAGATGTGCCTTATATATGTGTGAGCTTGACATCCTCCCATATGCAAACCCCTCTCTGCTGTGTCGCTGATATCACTCCAGCCCACTCCACCTATGTGAACCGACACCAGTCTAACCCAGTCGCTCAAATTTCAGGCTTGAGCATCTTCCTTTTTCTCTCTTCCTCTTTCACCAATCACAAATCTCACTGATTCTACCTTCTAACTATCTCTAGATTCCACCTAAACTGCTATCTTGTTCTAGGTCACCGACATCTCTTAGCCACGTTACTCCACAGCTTATGTGGTCTTCCTGCCTCTAGGCTGACTCGAATCAACTCTCCAGATGGCAACAATCTAACACTGTGTCATCCTACTCTGCCAAATCATGTTCTAAACTTTGTTTCAGGAAAACTAGTAACTGTGCTTGATAGCAGACACAGTGATGTTAGTGAACAGGCAACAAAGATCAGTGACACACCACCCAAATGACAATCAAGAACGTGTTCTCCAAGACTACTTCAGACACAGGGAGACTAGTCGACTGTGTTGCCAGACTCGCTGTGTTGGCTTTGTCTAAATACTTTACCTCAAGTTCCCCTTGTTTTAGTCTAGGCTTTTCTGTCAATTCAATTCTATGGGAGAAAACTATTCGCTAAATTGACCTGTAAACAGATAGAAAGTACTATGTCACCATTTCTCACCCAAAGGAAATGAACTTAACTCAATTACCTGTTCTTTAGCATGTTTCTGCTGCTCTCTTCTTTTACGTTCTTCTTCATCCACTTTGCTGACAACTATGTATCGTTCTTTCTAAAAGACAAAACCGACATACAATTTTCTGGAAGCAACTTTACCCCCAAAATTTCAGAATTCTGCTATTATTAGAAGTTATTGTTTTTATCACTGCACAATCTCTCATGGGCTAAACACGATAAAAGTATTTTGAAATGCCACCAAAAGTTGAGTTGATGCATTATAAACCAAAATTCTGCCTCTGTGTTTCCATGACATTTTCCCATGGTTTATTAATTGAGCCCAACAAATGTCAAAGTAGCAACAGATTATGAGAATAAGTCACTCTTCAAGATGAATACTAAGAAATTACGTTGAATTTGAATATGAGTTTCTAAATAGTTGGTTTTAAAATAAAATTTCTCTACCATATTTCATTAGCATAAGAAAAAAATCCTGGATTTTCTTATAACCTGTCAGATAACTGGCACCTTCTTCCTCACATAATGCATTTTATATCAATTAAACACACCATGAAACTTCCTATGTCAAAGTTTGAGATTTATCTTCTAGCAAGGTTATTTTTTAATTTACTTATTAATCTCTTATTTAACTTGACATATAATTTAAGAGTAACAACTAAACTGTAAAATTCTAAACTTCTGCAAAGGGATCCCACCAACGGCCCACCATTACCCATCATGGTTCCAACAGTGCACCTTGGGAATACATGATGACAGCTTTGCATATGCCCCAGATTCTAAAATTTAATTTTACTTGCTCACATAACAGGGAGCCATTTGTTCTTGTACACTATCACAACTTTCTGTCATAATAAAAATGAGTACTAACATTTTCATGCTTCCAAGTTTACAAAACCTGTTCACTTCCACTTTTTTATGGCTAACCATAAAAAAGTTGTGAGATGGGTATAGTATCATTATCATACTTACCCCCGATGTACAAACTAGAAAAATGAGACTTAGAGAGGTTAAATGGCTTGCCCAAGGTTACTCAGTTCCTAAATAGCAGAGCTAAGGATTTAAATTCTGACTTTAGACATATCGATGTATCATTGCACGTGTTTAATTATTAGCCCCAGAAAATTCTTGAGGTTACCTTTTCAGTTTCTAAAGTCTCAACATGAATGCCTTTGGGATACCTAAAGAAAAGAAAAGAAAAAAATATGACAACAGTAGATGAGAGGAAGACAGCTAAAACCACAAGCACTTTAAAAGCAACTATACAGTTACAATTTAATTAAATGAAATAGTTTTGTCTTACATCACATAATACAGTCAACTCATTACCACATAGCCAAATCTTGCTTCTAGATTCCTAAGTGAAATTTTGAAGTCTGTTTAGATTGCGTGGGCAAACACAGGAGAAGACAGAGATGGGTAACTCTGCTGCAGTTTGGCGTGATGGTTTGCCTCCACCAAGGAGAGGAATCTGGAACCCATATGGAATAAATAGCAAGGATAGCATGACAAGAGAAGAGGCTGGTCAAAAAACAACGGCCCTTTTCCTGTTATGTTTGAAGTAAATTCCCAGGATACAAGTCACTGGCAGATTCTAACAGAAGAATAAGAACTCCAAAGTCAAATGCAAACATCAGTCTGTCTAAAACTGATGTTCAATTTTTGGGTTAGCGATCCACTTGAAAATAGAATGAAACCACAGGAAACATTCCAAGAAAAATACACACACAAAAGTTTGCATATTATTTTAGGGGATTCAGAGCTCCTGAAACCCATCCACAGTCTAACCCCTACTTTAGAAAATATTCGGGGCTGAGTATTTTCTAGGTCTTAAAACCAAATCTTTATCCTATGCTTTCAAAGAACAAAAACACTACAAATCCAGAACTTAAGAGACAAAGCCAAAGTGATAATTAAAGAAATTTTAAAAGGCTTTAAAGTATCTATTAAGAAGCAATAACAAAGAAAATTAATTAAGTGGGTATTCAACTTAAGAAAACAGGGGGAAATAAAGCACTGTACAAGAACGTGGTATGGTCAAACCACCAAGTCCTGCAGAATTTTAAAAATGAAATGAAAGCTAAGAGATTATATTCAGTTTTTAAACCCTAGGTCCCTCACAGAGCTCTTGCATATCATATAAACACTTACTTCCAGCTCAAAGTCTGATAAATTAGTTTTCTTTGGAACCTACAAAAACAAAAGTTAAGTTATTGGTTTTGGCTCATTAAAAAGAAATCCTAACTGACCAAGCATTGGTTGGGAAGGACATTTAATTTCTAAAAGAGACTTCATTAGAAGGGACAGAAAATATGCAAACAAAAAGAAGCAGGAGTTTCAGGTGTGAGGACTCCTCCCCATTTGTCTTCATCAAAATGTTCTTTAATATCATTATATTGCCTTTCCAGAAGAGGTAGAAGTTCTTGTCTAACCAAAGTATTACTTCCTGTGGTTTTATAAAAAGAGTTTAAGGTAGACAGATGTACAAGATAGTCACAAAGTACAAGGAAAGTAGAATGTTTAAGTTACTCTTTGAAATGCTGATGTTTTTTACCATGAAGAAAAATTAAAAAGATAGAAGTCGCCTGACAGTAAATCCTTTATTAAATCCTTCTTTGTGTATTAAGCACTCCTCAAGGTGAAAAGTTAGGCCACTCTTGAGCATAACTTTAAGCCAAAGTTGCACAACAGTTATTTCTCTTCCAGGACAGGACAAAGCATTCCTTCAGTGTCTCAATACACTGTCACCTTCACTGTGTCAATGCTAAAGTTAGTGCTTAAATTTTGGGAACATACCTGTAATAAAAAGACTATTTATGAATGTGTTTTTAAAAAACCAAATGTAGCCCATGCCGGAAATCATCTACCTTTCCCAAAAAAAGAACATGTAAAAAGATTCAAGGCAACTAACCCGGTACATGGGTCTAAGTCCAAGTTCTTGTTTTCTTCACTTTTTAATAAATCTTCTATTTTCTCTCTGAGAAATTAGAATAAAAATATGACCATCAATACCCTTATGGAAAAAAGTCATCAACCAACAGAATAATCATACTCAAAAGCTATCTAAATATAAGAACACATGACAATGTAACTTTATCCAATCATGTTATAACTTTTTCATGCAACAAGGCTTAAAGAAAAATAATTAATCTTGGCACATTCTTTTTGTTATTATTGTTACTAATGAATTAGTGACAACTTCTCAAGGATTCATCAATACAAGTGACTTAAATTTTTACTCTTCTAGTAAAGCTGTTATACTGGTAAGTGAACTAAGTAAGACTAGACACACCTCCAAGGGCACATTTGCTCATCAGAAACTTCACTGAGAGAGAAATACACATGCATATGTTGCAAATATCTAGAAGGGTCTATTTGATTCCTCTGCCTTCAGAGAAACTGGACAGTGGCTGTCAGGTCCTTGGTCCATGCAGAAGGTCTGCCTAGTGACATGTGACAAGTCTAAGTACAGTACACAGAATCCCATTTACAATGTGCCATTGTCACACAAATCTGGATATGCCACAATTAAACTCCGCTACTCACAACATCACACCGCCGTGTGTACTACGTATGTGCAGCGCAAGTTAGAGATACGGGTGTCAGTCCTGCTCTAATACCCATTACACAGTGTACATCTGGTTTCAGTTCAGAAACTTACACCACTTGGTCAATAAACTTCTTCTGATCCTCAGGAATCGTCACAGGACATTTTGACGTGTTAGGAGATACGTAAGACAGAGCTCCTGCACCATTGGACTGTAAACGTTTTTCATCATACTGCTCTCTTAACTGTCTTTCTTCTTCTTGATTTAAATATGGAATCCCTAAACATAGGTTTTAAAAGAACATATTAGCAGAAGTAACTCTTTAACATAAAAACTATTTAACAAATGAAAGAGTCTAAAACACTCAGGAAAGACCATATTTAATATATCTCAAAAAAGTCAAGAGAAAAAGCAAATGATTTTGAAATATTTGTTTATTCATGCACTTCATCATTCATTCATTCATCTTTCAACAAATTCTTATTTGGCACTTACACTGTGCCAGAAACTGTATTAGGCACTGGGGAATCTAACAGTGAACAAAGTAGATACATCCTGCTCTGTAGTGAAGGGAATGAGTTTAGCCAGGACCAGAGAAGGCCACTGTGAGGGAAGTTACAGAGGATAAGAAGTAACCAGACATGCAAAGAGCTAAGAGAAGAGTATTTCCAGCAGGGGAAAAAGTATAAATGTTTTAGGCTTGTGGGTCATATGGGAGTCTCTACTGCAACTACTAAGCTATGCTCTTGTAACTTGAAAAGAGTAACATACAGTGAGTAAATGAATGGGCATGACCCAATAAAACTTTATTTACAAAATAAGCAGTGGGCCATAGTCTGTACCCTGACTAGACTACAGACATAGGAAGAATGATTTTCAAGATAGAAGAGCTAGCACTCGCTGATATACTGGAGGTGAGGAATAAAGAGAAGGCAAAATCGAAAATGATGCTCTGAGGTTTAAGCAATTGGGAAGGTGATAGGGCCACTTACTAAAAACTAGGAAAGAATAGGTATGGGGCTCCAAGGATGAAAAGCAAAAGCTACCTTCTGGATATAGGAAATCACCTAAGGGTAGATGTAAATTAAAGTTACAGATATATGCCTATAGTGCTGGAGAAAGGTGTTGAGATAGAAATTTAGGCATCAGCAGGATATCGGCGGTCTTAAAAGCCATAAGACACTAGTGAACTTTGTAGAAACGATTATGGAATTAGAAAATCACCATTTGTCAATAAACACTGGGGTTCTTGCCTACACTCATAATGGAAGAAACTACCAAATTCAGTTCAAGGTTAGAGAAAATACAGATGTGTATTTCTTCCCCTCCAAGTTCACAGACTCCTGAATTCTATCTACATGGGGGAAGAAAGGCAGCCCCTGGACTGGTTAAGAACCTCTATACTTAAAGCATGTTTACAAATGTGGACAGGTATGACACAGTAAAGAGGGAAAATAATTCAGGAGGGAGAAGAGCAAGCTGGAGGGGCCAGTGCTGGACCAAGAGACAGGGACTGGCTGTTGACAGGCACAGAGACGCCACTGTAAAGGAGATAAGCAAAAAAGGCTGGGTCCAGACAGAGGTTTGGTGGTGCGAACATGAAGCAGCTCTTCTCTGATGGCTTTATTTTCACACATGGTCATTAGGCGGGGTGGGAGGTCTAGAAAAAGAGACAGTTAAAAATAGACATCCCAGAGAGCTGGAATTCCTAAGTCAGAAAAGTAGGATTTTTGAGCATACTGAGTGTTTATTTGAAGCTTGTGTTCATGAATTTAAAGTGACAAATTAGCTCAGGTGTGTCATGTTTTCCAGCAATATTCAGATGCTCGGAAACAAAGAAGGTAGGTAGTCAGATCCAACCAGGGTTGGGACCTTGCTAGGCAAGTACAATGGAGGAAAAGAGGAACAAAGGAAGGAAGGAAGGATATGATGGACCACATAGACAAGGAGGGAAGTCAAGAGAGGAGAGTGGAAAGAAACAGTGAAAAAGCAATGGAGGTCAACAGACTGCTGAAAAGAGGTACTGGAGTGATCGAATGAGGACAGGAAGTAGTGCTCTCAACGAGAAATGCTGAAGCCGGGTGAAGCTACCAGTGATAAGAGCCATGGTGCTCTTATCACCTGGTCAAGAAAAAGACAAGAGAGAGCATCCGGTGGCCATCCTGTAGACGCTGAAGTTGCCCAGAATGAGGAGGGAGGCAGGAGTGGAGAGAAAGACAATGAGCCAAAACCCAGGCTGTCGATGAATGCCATGCCCACGATGTCAGCAGACAGAGGGGTGGCACAGCTGAGTGACACAGCCCAGAGAAGAACTGTGGCTCCTGAGAAGAAGGCATGCAAGTAGTCTGAAAGTGGCATGGAGAAACAAGGATACCCACCACTGCCTGGTGGAGATATGAAAAGAGAGGGGTAAAACCACCTGTGTTTGAGAGGAATGCAGGGTCAGAATATAAAATGAGAATGAGGAGCATTCCAATTTGGCTGTTTCTCTCCTTTCACAAAAATAAAATCATCAAGCTGTACACTATACTACATGCATATGATTCTGGTTAAAGTAGTTCCTTCAAAAGATTTTGCACTTACTCCGAGAGTGTTCTAATTGCATCTGACTTGTATTTTATATAATGGTTTTCAGAGGCAAGTATGAGAGCCAAAGGAAAAAAATTATTTTATATACCCAAACTGTGGTACTCAGTTGGTTTACTCATTATGTTAAGTAGTTTGGGCTCCAAAATTTTTTAGTATTTCCCAAAATCAAAGTCAATAGAAATTATGATGCAGCACCACTGAAGCAATTAAAAGACAGTAGGGCCTGGGTTCTCCCCGCCTCCTAAGGAGATCATGCTGAGGGGAAAAGAATTTATTTGAAGTCTAGGTTCTAGTACTTTTGATGAGAAAAATCTCCTTCCTTACCTCACTCAATAATTCTACATTCACCATGGAAAAGAATCCAATTTAGGAGAATAATTGAATTTAAAGTAGTTATTGACCTTATAGCAGCAGGTGCTTAATACTGCTGGGAAAACCAGAGGCTTTTCCAAACACTTTTTGGGAAATAAATGAATAGGGGAAGGAAAACCACTCTGGTGTGCCCTAATGTCCAACGTGCATTCATCAAATATTTAATAGTCACCTCCCTGACACATCGAGGGTACAGAATGAGACGCAGTCCTTTCCTCAGGGTGCTCGGCAGCCTATCACAACAAGACAGCTGGTGCGCAGTCTACGCAGACTTCTTTCCTCCCATAAAATGGAGAAACCAGCTCCAATTATAAAACAAGCACCAATTAAAAAAGGGAGTTTATCATTACAGGATTACTGGAATACAGTTACTTTTTAAGTACTATACCATACCATTTGTCTCACTAAAAGAAAACAGGGAAGCGTCCCCCACAGGTGGTCTGTTAGGCAAGTAAGTCACATAGAATAAAATATGAATAACTATATTATTCTATAACTATGTATAAGGAGTTAATTCACATAAACTATAGGTAAATGCCACTCAATAAAATCAGGAGTCTGAGAAGCCTCAATAAAGCTAAAGAAAGTAGCATCAACTCCCCACTCAGTTCATGGATGAGCAGGCTTTAAAAAAAAAGGGCACAACAAAACTGTTTTTAAAACTCTAAGACCACACATGATGTACTGGAAATCTGAGATTCTCAGAGAGCAGGTGCAAAAAGATAATTCTCAACAAAATCCAAGTTCTAAAGGTAAGTCACATATAATCTTACCATTGCGAAAAACTTTATTAAAATCAAATCCTTGGCTTGCTAGAAAGTCAATGCTTGAGCTCTGAAACAAGAATAAACAGTGATGTTAGTGGCAGGTATGTGAACGGAAGCGAAGAAGTAACTCAGGAGAGTAAACAGGCCATAAGGCAAGGAACCAACATACCAAAGGTCAGAAATCAAGAGATTTCTACTCCAAAGTGGCAAACAATCCATTAATTTACTTAAACTATCTGGACTCTGCTCCTTTATTTCTTATAAAAAGAAATATCCTTTGTTTTACGACATTTAAGAAATTTTTACTTGGTGAACATAAATTCTCCCAACGGGCAGAAAACTCCTGATCACTGTACTGACTAGGAGACTATAATGTATTTATATAATCTTACTCCAGGTTCAAGTTTAAGGTAGCTCATGTGTGCAGGCTATAGACATCAATAACCACTTCAAACTAGATTCTGAAAACCCAAATTCTTAATTGGATATTCTTTGCATTCGAGATCAAAACAGAGAAAAGTTCCCAGTAATAAGACTTATTAAACGAACATAATTCAAATCTAGAGTGAGTTGAAATATATAAGTAAATTTAAATAAAAATATTAATAATACTACACAAAGTACACAAGAATGGCACAATCACATAGTTCTTATTCAAACTGACGGAAGAGTCGGAAACATTACTTCAGCTATAACTTTACTCTTGTTGTAAGTCAGAACATGAGATGGTGATGCATCTGACTCATTTTAATCTGGCCCCTCATAGACCTACCTTTCCTGAATTGTAATTTGACATTGTATAACTAGTCTAGATGGAGGGACATCATACCATCCCATTAAACTCATTACAGTATTCACTTTAGAGATATGGTTGAAGACAAGGTTTTCTACATTAATGATTTCTTTATGATAATAGAAGAGGGAATGTGAGGTCTCTAGTCCGAGCAAAGCTGAACTTCTCCTGAGCCCTGGTTTGTTTTGATCCTATGGCCATAGATTGTGTGTTTCTCTCTTTTCGGAGCTGTAGGAAGCTCATAAGCAAATAGTTGAGACTTTCTTTGGCACAAATTCTGTGTCCTAATCATATCATAGTAATATTTTCATTTTTCTTCCAATTTTTCATTTTTTTAATCTTAAAAGGTAAATACCACATGTATCTTTATAGCCAACACAAATTCTTTTTAAAATATGGTGGGATATCAAAAAGCAATCTTAATACAGACAGATACATATACAAACACATACACACACTTGGGTACATGCACATCATTTTCCTTCATGTCCAGGTTTTCTACGGTTTAAAACAAGCAATCCTTTCCCCCACATCTTCCCTTTTTATCCTGTTCTGAAACAAGACCTAATGTTTTCTGGCTTGGACCACAAGCTTCCTTCTGTCTCCCATGCCTGAGTATTCCTATAATTCTGTCCACCTAAATATTCCATCACTGACACAGGCACTGAAAAATGGATTAGAGCACTTCTGAGCATGGGATCTGCGCATAAGAATTACCACATGGTTCCAAGAAGCTTAGACGCCACCTACTGGAAACCAAAATAAAAACGCCTTCTTTGCAACAGGCTAAAGAGAGACCTTTATATAATAAATCTTCCTTCTAGAAGCAGAAAACACTTCCATTAATACCCAGGTGGAGAAATAGGCCATTAAACACCATGAACAACCAAGGTGACAAGGCAGAACTCAAATTAACAATTCCAGGAATTGAGAACAAAACTAAACCAGCAGAATGAGTTCTTTAGCAAGGAGACTGAAACCCTCAAAAAGAACCAAATAGAACTTCGGGAGATGAAGAACACATTGAAAGAGATGAAAATGAAATAGCAAGCTTGAGAAACAGAGCCAACAAATGGAGGAAAGAATCAGTAACATAGAAGACAGAAATCTATAAATAAATCATAAAAAACAAGAGCGAAATTGAAGAATAAAAAATAAAGAAAGAGAAATACAAGAACTAGCTGATACCATCAGGAGAGGAAACATAAGAATAATGGGCATTATCGAAGGTGAAGAAAAGGAGCAGGGACTAGAAAGCATTTTCAGACAAATAGTTGATGAAAAATTCCCAAATCTAAGAAATGAGCTGAAGCTTGGAATTCAAAAAGTCAATAGAACACCCAATTATCTCAATCCAAAAAGGTCTTCACCAAGACTCATTGTATTAAAATTATCAAAAATTAATAACAAAAAAAAGAATCCTCAGGGCAGCCAAGGATAAGAAGATGGTAACCTATAAGTAAAAACCATTAGATTATTGTCGGACTTCTCAGCACAAACCTTACAAGCCAGAAAGGAGTGGAATCAAATATTCAAACTATTAAATGAAAGGAACTACCAGCCAAGAATAATGTATCCGGCACAGTGCTCCTTCAGATATGATGGAGAAATAAAGACCTTTCCAGACATCCATTTTCACAAGAGTAAACCTATCAAATTAAACCTGTTTTTACTTCCATAAGTTGTAACACAACACAGCTGATTTCCCTTCAGGTGCATTGAATTAGTGTTTTCTCAGCTTCTTCAAAATATTCTCACCTGTTTCATGCAGCCTATTCAGAGAGGCTAATTCTCCAGTCACTTCAAACATTGACTCCTTGAATAAACAGGAACAAATGAACAGTATCCTGAAACCTGTCGACTTATTAAGAGCTGAGGAAAACCACTCAAAATAATTTGCCTTCACGAAATAATTTAAATTTGACTATTGATGTTGTTCCCAGTGGTCTCAACACTTTAAGCAGCTATTCTTACCCAAAGGCTAATGGTCTTAAACAGGATTATTTTTTCTGGATACATTTTTTTCTGCTGCTGAAATCAATCAACATTAAATTTCTTGCATGGCTAGGAAATGAGTCACTTGGACATGTACTTTGGTTACAGCCTCATTTCCTTCATTTCTTTTTTTCTTTTCTATTTTTGTGAAATTTTACTATGAGATATAGCTTTTAATTTTTGTAATTTTCTGAATTTTTTTGTGATTTGGTAATATTGTGATGAGTTGTTGGTCTGGTAATGTCGACATGTGTTGTATTCTTACAGCATAGATACAGGTTCGTTGCACAATAAACATAATGTTTTGCCATCTAATTTGATAACAAAATAATCCACACTTCATTGTACCTTAAAAATGGAATATTCTAAGTCTACTTTTTTTTTTTTTCAATTTGACAGGTATATCCTGATGATAAAATAATAAAATGTCCGAGTATGGTGATCTGCATGGCACTTGAAATGCTGTCAGTAAAAGCGTGTTACAGTGATTTTTAGTGTGCAGCAGCAGTGTGAAGTGATAAAAATACCACATCTGGTCTCAGTCATGAAAACCCTGTTGTTGTAGTGTAAAAGCAGCCATAGACAATAGGTAAATAAATATGGCTATATTCCAATAAAATTTTATTTAGGCACACTCAAAAAAAATAATTAAAAAAATAATAATGCATTAGAGAAAGCATTTTTGTTCCTTCTGTCACTAGAGTCCAAAAAATCCCAACTTCCTTCTCTTTAACAATTCAGAGTCAAACATTCATCTATTCTCATGTTTTCCACTCAAACAACACACTTTAAGTTGCACAATGTAAATGTAACTAATGCCACTGAACTTAAAACCACTTATAATGGTCAATTTTATGTTATTTTACTATAATTTTTTTAAAATCTTTTGAGCCAACAAAATCTATTTGTGGTTTATTAACCACTACCTTTGATTTGTGTGAAATGTACCATTTTTAGGATTCAAGAAATTTGAGAGGACAATTTGAGGTATCTATTGAAATTTTAAATGCATATGTCCTATGAGTCAGCAATCTCCCTTCTAAGAAATCTATACAATAAAAATACTCCTAAATAGTCACAAAAATATATTCACTTAAATGTTGATTATAGCATTGTTTAAAACAGGGAACCACTGGAAAGCTTCTGTATTCCAATTCAATAAATTACACTTATCTATACTATGAAATATGAAGACGCTGTGTAGAGTGGAAAGTGAAAGTTATATAAAATATGAATATTAGGATTCTGTGTATATTGAAGAAAAAAGCCACCATTATATATATGCAAATACATAATTAAAATATAAAATCTAGAAAAACAGAGTGAAATGGGGAAGGAAGTAGCATGGAAAAGAGGGCATAAAAAAAAAAGAAGCTAATTTTTTACTCTATAGATAACAGCAATGTTTTGATTTTTCACAACCATGTATGTATTATCTTCCATGAATTCAATTATAGATGTTCAGTCAGAAAAATGAAGGAGAAAAAAAAAAAAGAGATGAAAGCAATGTAAATGCCATGCTATTCTGCCTGTCATTCCCCTGGATGCCATTCCCCTGGATGGGGACACTCACTGGGAGTGTATGTGGTTCTCAGTGTACCCGTCCCTGCCTACTGTGTGAACATCTCTCTCTGTGTGTAGACACTTATTTTTCACAGAACATATTAGGTTGTTTTACCCCTAAACCTCACCTGCTTTAAGGGTGAAAAGTCCCTCTCAAGAGTGATTCTGGACTAGACAGAATTCTCACTCAACTTGCTAACTCTAGATAGATCCTAACTCTCTTGTAAGATGCAACTGTGCTGCAGTCATTGCATTTGAAACAAAACAAAAACCACTTCAGATGCAGGACAAAGAAAGAAAATTCAAAGATAGTATCATTTACCTGATCCACATGAATCACAAGTTTACATACTGAGTCTAAACCTTTCTCTGCCTTTGTTTTTTCAAACTAGAGAATTACAGACTTCTTAACCCACTGTCCATTTCAGACATTATTCTCTGGCCTGTCTTCAAATCTATTACATCTTTTTCTTTTTTAAGGAGTGGGTGGCAACTAGAACTACATGGAGTGTTCCCGGTGTGGCCACCAAATGGCTCTGTACAATGAATGGGTGGAGTTCTTCTGATCTGTTTCCAACACATTTCCTAAAATAGCTTTTCGTGCTGGCCTTTAAAACAGAGTATCATCCCTAAGGGGTCTCACTGCTACCCTTTGCTTTCGTTTGATTAACCCCTGGCTAAAGCCATGGAACCTACCTTAAGTAACCGTCTTCTCCTGGTGCTGCAGGAAAACTGCAGCCATACACATTTCCCAAACTCAACCTATTTTTTCCTCAGTGAAAATCTACAAATACTGTTTAATTAAGTATCCTATACTAAGGTGATTCATGAATAGCTGTTAACTGATTGCAGGGTAAAGAGAATAACAACTATGGTTTACTTGCTAATTTAAGAAAACAGGTTACAAGACCAAAACTATCTTCACTTTTTCTTTTCAGCCCCAGGCATAATGAGAGCAACTCTCAATATCGCTTGCTTATATCCTGCCTTATTACAGAAAGAATGTGACATGACTCAGTCACTCAGAGGCCTGCCCTTCAGGCATTCTTAATTGCATTGCTACTTACATGCAGGAGAGAGGAAAGTCGGGAAAACTCAAATGAGCTAGTGTTGTTACTGGGAGAGAAGCTAGGGCACGAGATTATAAGGGAGAAAAGATTAACACTCATCTTAAATTACATATCCATGTACCACTGATTCACATCCTCCTTATCCATTACAAGAGATTACAAAGAGGCCAGAAAAAAAAAAAAAAAAACATATTTGCTGAGTGTCTGCCACAACCCTAAAGAATATGTTCTGATGAGGAATGTCCCCTATCCTTCTGTTGGCTCATAAAGTAAGCCCTCTTCTCCTCAGGAGGAAACAGTAATTAGTCTTTTTCCACCCTCTCTTTCCTGATTGATGAGTGTGGGAACTGACGAACTGAATGTATGTAGTTTAGCCCCCTCTGGGTTCTCCCTTTTTAGACACGCACATACTCTACTCATCCAGAAAATAAAGCTCTACCCTTGGAGGTGCATACAAGGAGAATGGGGAAGGGATGGAGGGGCGGCCTGCAGAGAAGCCTGCTGGTCCTGATCTATAGATTCAATGCAGGCATATGACATTAAAAATCCCAAACAGAAACACATTACAAAGCTAAGTTCTCTCAGTTTTACTAACAATAAAGCTCATGTTCCCATTCCCATGTGCTTATCTCTTGCATCTTATTTCTTAATTTATTCTGAAGTAAATGAGAAAGCAGTGTCATTAATTTACAACCCTAAAACTGAAGGTCGGAGAGGTGAAATGATTTGCCCAGAGCCCAGGGTTAGGGACAGAATCAAATGTTAACGAGAATTCTCATCCCACATGTTCACACTGCCTCATCAGCAATTCATAACAGGAAAAAAAAAGAAAAAAAAACCACACGCAATTATTCCACTAACCTGACAAACAAATTTGACATCTGGTGAGGATCGATTGAAGGGTTTCGGGAAAACATAGAAGTTGAATGACTTTGTTATATACCTGGGAAAATAACATAAAAGGAGATTTAGGGTGTTACGCGATGCCACAACAAAAGAAGTCCCACCTCTCGTTAAAATAACCTACTTTGAATCTGTGTAGTCATACTTAAAAGTGCAAAGGCCAAACTGAAACAGCAGAAAGTCCATGGAATGCTGGAAAAGGGAAATGAAACATCTGTCAAAACAGCACCATGTATTCCATGCGAGCAACAGTATTCTCAGTCAGGCAGGTTTTCTGATTATCAATTTGACTTTGGCAGGATATTTCCAATTAAAACAGATTACAGAATACGTAGCAAAAGTGTTATAAATGTATATACATTTCTTAATATTTTTCCCAATTAAGCACCTACCCACCATCCAGAGAATCATATTAGGCCTATTTACACATGATTAATATAACCATACTTTATTTCCTATAAATTAAATTAGCATTGGAAATACTAAACCTTCCCCAAAATGCTTTCCAGCAAACAATTATTTTTACTGTTGTTTTAAATAACACCAAAGTAACATTTAATAGCTGGGATCGAGAAGTTAACGTACAAGTTTAAAGATTATATTTCTCTATAATTCAACATAAAGAGGACCGATATGGGAAGATATTTTTTTCTAGTACATTCTCTTACCTTCTTAAGCTTCTGATACCTTTCTTCTGGAGTGTCAAAACCATTTGTTAATGTGGTGACTGAAGGTCCGTCACTAATTCCTAGATTTTAAGAAATAAGTCTTTAACTTGTCAATAAATGTTAATGTAAAAATGTCAGTCAACTATTCAACGGTTCTATAATTTCATATTCTTATGAATTACAATTAATTGGTAGTGCTTCTTCACTTTTTCAAAATTAGCATTAATTTCACTGGCCATCAAGCTATACTCTGTAACAACAAATTTCGCGATACGAATGTTTCAATTTGAGAATGGGCAGTCCCAGTGTCTAAAATAGGTTTCAAAACACAGTACTGATTTAAGAATTCACTTTCTATGATTAAATAAATTGCCACTTTCAAAAGATTAATGCATAATCAGATGTCAACAAATCATGAAGTATATTATTGTTAGAGTCCCGGTCTCAGCCAACAGTTTAGAGTAACATCTATACAATGAAAGGTTTTTTCAAGGTCAAGAGAACAGTATTTCTTGTGAAAACTCTTAGCTTCCCTGGGAACTGGCTCCAACCAGAAAGGGCATGTTTAATTAAAGTCAATAATCATATTTACCCAGCATGGATTCCTTTAGAGTTTTTTAAACATGTAAAATCAGGCAGTGAAAGTGGCTATCCATACCAAAGAAATCCAACTGTTCATACTGACTTCAACAATTTTAAAATTAGTCTTGCCATTGTAAATGTTGGTAAAGTATTACACACACATACACCCATGCCAAAATAGGCAACGAACATGTCCACGAATGCATAAAGGAATACCCTCATTTACCTGCAAAAGCTTGACCCTAAAGTTGTCACAAAGGGCAAATATTGTAAAACTCCACTTACAGGAAATGCCTAGAGTAGTCAAATTCTTAGAGACAGAAACAGTGGTTGCAGGAGGTAGTGGGGAGGGAGGAACTGGGAGTTGTTCAATGGCTACAGATTTTCTGTTAAGAAAGATGAAAAGTTCTGGAGATGGATGGAGACAGCTGCACAACAATGTGAATGTACTTAATGCCACTTAACTGTAAAACTAATTAAAATGGGAAATTTTATGTTATGTATATTTTACCATAAACAAAAGGCCTGACCCTAACTCTCAAGCTTTCTACCATCTGTCAAACTGTTCTAAGCAGCACCAAAACCGTAATCTCCATCTGCAACTATCAGAGCTCCAACAATCACAAACCCACCGCGTCTCTCTCTTGTTTCTGAAACGTTTAGGAGGAAATGTTAACTCATTAAACTTGCCCAAAGCTATAACTAGGGAAAAGGGGTCCCCAAGAAGAAGTCAGGGACAGGGCGTCAGGAGGATCTTTGGCTATGCATTACAAGGTGCTAGCCTCAATCTTGCAAGCGAGGGATACCTGAAAACTCCCCATCGATGGCAAAGAAGTCCGCCTCCTCTATGGCCTGGTACACTTTGTGAAGATTACTCTTAAAATCTGCGGAGAAACCGAGAAGCAGCTCAGAACCGGGGTCCTGTCTCCCTGCCCACGGGATCCTAAGGGGAGAGGGCAGAGGAGCTCCTAAGGCGTAGGGCTGGAGGACAACTCCTGGAGGGATACACAGAAGGCATTCAAGTCCCCGAGAGATGCACGGGCCTTAGGGGGTTAGATCCCCAAGGAGTGAATGAGCCAAAGGGAGACAAGGACTGAGGGTGCAAGGACCAGAGAGAAACATGGCCTTAAGGGGTGCACGGGCAGGAAGATAACAAAGCCCTGAGGGGTGCATAAGCCAGAGAGGACCAAGCCCCCTAGAGGTGCCCAGGCTTCAGGGAGGCAAACCTCTGAGGGGCTACCTCAGCCCCAGGCCCCGCCAAGCAGACCCGCTGGCCGCGGTCCGGGCCTAACAGGCCGGGTGAGGGGGGCGTGGGGACGCGGGGATGTGCACGGAGGACACGCACTGCTCCTGATTATCTCCATTCTGCAGGGTGGCCGGAACACCGGCCCTGCCCGGTCCCGCCTCAGCCGTTGCACTCGCAAGAGTTCCGCAGGCACCACGGCAGCAGCGGAGACAGCAGCGCCGGAGACCACGACGGTGATTTCCGGGAATAGCGCGCGCCGGCGCGCGTCACGTGTGCTTGCGTCACGGAGGGGCGGGGCCAAGGTGGGGCTCCCTTCCCTTCTTGGGATGCAGTGGGGGGCCATCGCTACCGAAGTCCCCAAGGTTGGTCTAACTTGTGAGGTTGGGCATGGGGCATTCACTTTAACACGAATATTTCCTGGGTTCCTGTTACGTGCTAGGTCTCTGAAAGGAGTGGGGTATACAGTGATGAACAGAAAAGACAGGGGCCCTGCCCCATTGGAGCTTAGCTTGGGGGAAGAGGGGAAAGTCATGCAGGAATCAAACTTGCTTCTTGGGAGCACAATAATCTCTTCGAGGAAAAAGCAATAAAAACAATGGGAGGGAGGTTAAAGAAATAATGGAGAAAGCAAAGCTGAGACTTTATCTACCGCACTAGCCACTGGAAATGGCGAGCAAAACAGATGAGGTCTTGCCTAACAGTTTTGGGATTTGCCCTTGATCCCGAGCCTACAAGGCTGACACACAGTAGATTCCCAACTCAGTAAACATGAGTTGAGTGAATGAATTCACCTTGGTCTTTCACAAAAGCCAACTATGAAATTGGTTAGAAGACTTGTTTTCAAAGGCTAACTCTGCCATCTAATTAGGCCTGGAATGTATTCAACCTTCCTAAACCTCAATTGCCTCATCCACTACATAGGGTTGAGAATCAGTGCTGATGATGTATGTGAATTGTAAAGCACTATATAAATACGTGTAAGATATGATTAGAGTGCTGACTTGCTGTCACATTTCCCTGCATTTACCACTCTTAGGTTTGAGAGATACATACTTCTGCTTTTTGAAAAGATAACCCCACAAAAACAAACAAACAAAAAAAAACAACTATTAAGTTCTCTAAAAAACAAATAAGAGTCTGGCCATATTTTCCACACCAGGTCCCACAACAAATTCTTTTTTCCTTGCGTCATTCAACAAATTTATATACAGGTAATTATGCCCACCACCCTAGTATGAGAAGTAAAGAGTGAATATGAATTCTAGAGTTCAGCTAGAATGGGAAGGGGAAAAACCAATATGACAAGTAGTCAAACTTCAAGTTTAAAATGTCTCTCTGTCTTCTTGTTTCAGCTTAAAAACTCCTAAATGTAAAATACTAGCCACATATAGCCACTTAAATTTAAACTTTTAAATTAAACAAATATCAAAACTTAGTGCAAAGCTATAGCAATGAAAACTGTGGTTTTGGTTAACACTGGCATATAGAAAGACATAGAAGTTAATGAAATAGAATAGGGTAGGGGTTCCCAACCCTGGAGCCACGAACCATTTGGAACCAGGCTGCACAGCAAGAGGTGAGTAGTAGGTAAGCAAGTGAAGCTTCATCTGTATTTGCAGCCGCTCCCCAGCGCTAGCATCACCGCCTCAGCTCCACCTCAGATCATCTGGCATTAGATTCACATGGGAGCACTGGTCCCTGGTGTCAAAAAGGATGGGGACTGCTGAAATAGAGAGCTCAAAAATAAACCCTTGCCTATACGTTGATATGATTTGCAAAAAGGCTGCCAAGATCATTCAATGGGGAAAAGATGTTGTTTTCAATAAATGGTGCTGAGAAAGCTAGCTATCCACATGCAAAATGAAGTTGGACCCTTATCTAACACCATATAAAAAATAATGCAAAATACATCAAACACCTAAATGTAGGCGCTGAAAATATAAGACTCTTAGAAGAAAACATAAGGCAAAAGCTTCATAACATTGGTTTTGGCAATTATTTTTTGACTATGACACTGAAAGCACAAGCAACGAAAGAAAAATATAGATTTGAACTACATCAAAATTAAAAATATTTGTATGTCAAACAACAAGGTGAAAAGGGAGAAATCTATGAAATGGAAGAAAACATTTGCAAATCATATATCTAATAAAGGGTTAATATTCATAATATATAAAGAATACCTACAACTCAACAACTCAAAAATAAACAATTCAATTTTAAAATGGACAAAAGACAAACATTTTTCCAAAGAAGATATACGAATGTCCAACAGCACATGAAAAGATGTTTGGCATCACTAACACAAATCAAAACAATGAGATACCATTTCATAGCCATTGAGTGAGAATTAGAATTTTGTGCACTGCTGATGGGAATGTAAAATGGTTCAGCCACCATGGAAAACTGTATAGTGGTTCTTAAACATTAAAAACAGAATTATATGATGTAGCAATTCCACTTCTGGGCATGAACCCCAAAGAATTAATAGCAGAGGTTTGAACAGTTATTTGTAGACCTATGTTATTAGCAGCATTATTCACAAGGGCCAAAAGGTGGAAAGTGTCCATCAACACATGAAAAAACAAAATGTGACCTACATACACAATGGAATATTATTCAGCCTTAAAAAAAGAAGGAAACTCTAACAGGCTACAGTCAAGATTAATCTTGAGGATATTATGCTAAGTGAAATAAGCCAGCCACAAGACTAACACTGTATGATTCTAGTACGTGATAGAGAAGTCAAATTCATAGAGACAGAAAGTAAAATGGTGGTTACCAGAAGCTGGGGGTACGGACCATGGGAAGGTGTCAAATGGATATGGAATTTCAGTTTGGGAAGATTAAAAAGTCCTGGAGATGGTGATGAAGGTTGCATAACGACGTGGATATACTTAATACCAGTGTACTGTACTGTTAAAATAGTCAAATTGGTAAATTTATTACGTATCTTTCACAATTTAAAAAATGATGATACCTATTACCAGATTATCTTCCAGAAAATGAATTCACACACTCCCAGCACTAGCACAGGCCATTGCCAATCTTTTTACTGTCAGTTTGATAGGTAGAAAAAAAGGTCATTCCAAACGATCACTTTAACAATCTCCAGGTCGGCGATTTAAACCAGATAATAAGCATGCATTCTCAATGGATCTAAGCGCTGGGAGAAAAAACACATGGTAAAGTCATTTAATTCCGATTCTTCTTCATCTGTAAGTGGAACTTTAGCCGCGGCCCTCTACATTAAAATGTGGCAGCAAAAAAAGCTGTGGGAAGTACGATGCGGACTTGTAATAAGGCTTTAATTTCTGGATAAAGTTGTTTCCTCCATACACAGAAACAGCCTCCGGAGAGGAGGCGAGACAGACAACCGCTCACTCGCGGGTGTTGCGCTCTGTGTGTCCCAGAAGAGGAAAGGGCGGGACCCACAGTGGTACGTAAGCGGCGAACTCCTTGGCCGGAGACTGGCCGCTCTAGGCAGCGGGGAGGTCGCGGGTGTGAGGGAGCTGGGAATGAGTGCGGCCTCTCCTCTATGGTCAGGGGCACGGGGCACCCCCCTCCACAGTCAGCCCTAGGTTGCTTCCGGAAGTAAAGCGGCCACCCCTTGCTCTGCTTCCGCGGGGGTCGGGCGAGGGCCGACGTCCGGATGGGTCCTGGGATCAACACGGTGGTAAGCCCCAGCGCGGCGGGGGACAGCAAGGGGGTGGCCCGGGCTCGCCCTCGGGCGGGGTTGGAGGACGAGCGTGGGGGGCGAGGTCCGAGGCGCGCGGGACCTTCCTTACTCAGGCCCGGGTCCTGTTCACCCGCTGTTCTTGCCTCGAGGCACAGACCCCGCTGGCCAGCTTCCCCATCCCTTTTCGAGAACCCCACGTCGGCACGGCGGATCGCTGGGCCTCGCCTGTGCCCCCTCGGGGGTCGGCGTCAGCCTGTCGCTTCAGAGGCTCACCAAGGAGAGAGGGAGGGGGCGTCGCTTCCATATACCTTGGAAGGGGACGACCCTTTGCAGCCTGCGACAGTGCGTCCAGATTGATTAGGTTCCTCATAGAAGTCAGGCTGGGCTTCAAGTCTAATTGACAAGGCCCTTCCTACCCCAAGGCCGAACGATTGCCCCCTTTTTAAAATAGGGTAACGGACTCGCAGAAAGGCGAAAGTGCAACCGCGCAGTCATGCTGGGGATAGGCTAGAACCCGGCTCTAGTGATTCCCAACTCAGGGGCAGAAATCTGAACTTGCGCAAAAGGGAGTTTTCTTTAAAACAAACAAACAAACAAAACGGCAAATGAGAGGCTGTGGGTCTAACTGGGAATCTTTGGCAGAAGAGCCCGCCCTCCTACTGTGGTGGAGAGGAGAAAGTGAGAGCCTAGAGGTTGTCCTGCCCTCAGCTGTCGCCGTTGGGTCCTCCCGGCTGAAACCCATTGGTCGGTCCATTGGGGGTGGTCTTGATGTCACACTCGGAAAGGCCTATAGGAAGGAGCTGTACTCTCTTCTCCAGGCACAACCCAGAGCCCACGCAGAGTACACGTGCGGATTGGGTGGTTTGGTTTATTTTTGGGCTGTTTTGTAAACAGCCAGACTAGGTGTAGGATGCTTCTGCATTTCCTGCCTATCTCAATAAACCTGTGGGAAACGATACTTCTCCAGGGCATTTCTTTTTTCTTTCCTTTTTTTTTAAGATCCCGCGCTTCGTCCTCCCATTACTTACATAGCTGGCACTCAGTTAATGCAACTATTATTCTATTAATAATACCAATCGACCATACAGTAGACTCTTTTTGAGTATCTGTGCATAGCGTTTGTCACTTATAAATGGGAAATAAGAGGCTCAGGGAGAGTAAATGTGACCTGGTTTGGAACTCGGATCTTTCTCATTGCTAAGACCATTCTGATTCAACTATACCTGCCTCTCCAGGGAAACTGTAGTCTTTGAGATGAGGAAACATGCACAAATAAAAGTTACACTAATTCACAGAGGCAGGAAGGATTAATTTGGGTGTAAGGGGAGTTAGTCGTTAGAGACTTTCAAGTGACAGTTGATTTGGATCTTGTCAGTTGGACACTTTTGACCCAGAGATGATGTGGAGCTGTGTTACAGATGGAGGGAACAGTGTGATATGGAAAAATAGCCAAGGAATAGGAATTAATAGGTGAGACAGTGTGAATACGTATTAAGGGATAATCATAATAATAGTAATAGCTAATATTTACATTGCACTTACTATGTGCCAGGTACTCTTCTGAGTGCTATACACGTTAATTCATTTAATTAACAATCGTAAAGATACTATGAATATACCTATTATACATGTGAGGAAACTGAGGCACAGGGATTGAATGATTTGGCTAAGCTCACACAACTAATAATTGGTGGAACTTGGATTTGAACTCAATCATTCTGGCTCCAGAATTTGTACTCTTAAAAAGTTGTGTTGATTGCTAGCAGGCCATAAAGATGCTTAAATGACAAGCTTACAACTATGGGTTTTAATTCTCATAGTGGGGAGAGTCAAATTGTTGTGGATTTGATTTTCGTCTACAAATTTCTAGAGCCCAGCTTTGTGCCAGCTACTCTCAGTTACCATGATAGAATTCTGTGGCTTGGTTCCTGACCTCAGGGAGCTCAGAATTTGGTTGGAGAGGAAAAAAACTCAAAACTGTTCAAAAAATGTAAGAGACAGTTAAACCTGAGGAGGATACATCAGTTTACAATAGTTAAGGTTTGAGTTACTGGTAACCACCAATAGTTTTTAATCATTTTCTGAGTTATTGGACATCTACAGCATTTAATACAGGGTAGGTCACTTTATATATGTTACATAACAAATGAAAAAGACAGTCTCTGGAGAGAGCCAGGACACCCTTATCAGTGTGTTCTCATCTTGCCCACCACTCCCAGGCCGTAAATCACTGGATCTCAAAGTTCAGGCAGCAAATCAACATCCCGTGAGCCAGCTACCTTTGCCCTGGTAATTTCTGACC